TAGGCCTTTCAGACGGAGGGAAACTCCCTTCTGTCGCCAAAGATGACGCAGGTTCAAGAAGGCAGCTCTGGCCTTTGCAATGCGTGAGCTCACGTCAGTTTCTATGCGCCCATCATTGCTGATGCAGCTGCCAAGATAAGTGAATTGATCAACCACCTCGAGTTCCTCGTTAGCAAGCGTCAAGGGGTCATCGAGTGGCTGGTGGTCCTGCAGCAACACTTTGCACTTTGAAGGTGCGAAGTGCATACCAAATAATGGGACCACTCTGGATAGGCTATTCAGGGTTGATTGTGCCGCCTCAACATTGTCGAAAAGCAAGACGATATCGTCCGCATAATCTAGATCAACTAACCTTTCACCAGGCAGCACTTCAACGCCTACATCGTGAGATTCCGCAAGGGAACACTCCATGATAGAATCCACGACGAAATTGAACAAAAACGGGGAAATCGGACAACCCTGACGAACGCCACTTGTAGTCGAAAAGCTATCCGATAGGACACCATAGACCCTGACGCGGCCTGTAGTGTTCGAGTATAGAGCACGAAGGATGTTCACATATTTCGTGGGAACACCTTTCCGCGCAAGTATTTCGAACAGAATCGATCGATCGACTGAATCGAACGCACTCTTGAAATCGAGGAACACAGCTATTGTCGGTCTGCGGTATGCGTGGCGCTGCTCTAGCACCTGCCGCAAAGTAAATATATGGTCTATACAGCCACGTCCTGGGCGAAAACCGGCCTGCTCTTCCCTAATCCGAGATTCCCGTTCTGCAGTGAGGCGACGAACGATAATCGAGGCCAGTAATTTTGTCACAACTGGCGTTAGGCTAATACCCCTGTGGTTCGCACAGTCTGTGCGACTGCCCTTCTTGTATATTGCCACTATAATCGATTCGCTCCAATTAGCCGGCACACTCTCTTCGTTCCAGATACGTTCGAATAGGGAGGTCAGTGCTTTGCAGAGGACCTCACCTCCATCCTTAAATAGTGCAGGTGGGAGGGAATCCGGGCCAGCGGCACGAAAACGATTGAGGGCTGTGATCGCGTTTCGGACCTCGGCCTCCGACGGAGGCTCTAAACTAACCGTCCATGGCTCGTCCTGCATCACCTGAGTAGGAAGAGGTCCGGGAGCAGGGGGCCAGCTGAACTGATCTTCAAAGTGTTCAGCCCAACGAGCCATACGGCGCTCCTTATTGTGTATCAGCGCACCCGCGCTGTCTCTGATTGTCTCACTGACGCCTGGTTTTCTGGGACCAGTGGTGCGGATTAGCTGGAAGAGCTTCCGGTAATTGCCTACTGCTCCTGCCTCCTCCATTTCTTGAGCCCGACTGGTCCACCAGGCTTCCTTGTCAGCACGTAGGCTCCGCTTTAGTTCACGCCTAATAGCCCGTCTGGTCACATTGTGTTCAGAACCAGCCGGGAGGTGTCTTCTAGCTTCCAACAGGTTCACGGACCTCTCGGATATCCAGTGACTGGTGCGGTGACGACTGATAGTGCCACAAGCAGATGCTCCTGCGTCGTGCATAGCGGCCGAGATCCTATTCCACTGAAGTTCAGTGTCATTAGGACAAGACAGCGAGAGTTCGCTATGCAGTGCTTCTTGATAGGCTTGCCTGACCGAGGGCTGGGACAATTTCTCCGTTGCCAATCGGGGGAGACGCTTTGTGCGCCTTCCGGTAAAGTTCATGGAGAAACGACAGCGCACCAAGGCATGATCAGAGTCGACACAGGTACTCCAGTACGAGCGGCAATCCAGAATGGAACCGCGCCACCTGTAACTTATGGCTATGTGGTCAATTTGGGTCCATCGCTGGCCAGCTACAGGTGGACGCCAAGTGGCACTTCGGCGCCCACTGTGTCTAAAAGCAGTGCTAGTAAGAAACAACTGGTGCTCCGCACACAGTTGCAGCAGACGCTCGCCGTTGTCAGTCCGTTCGGCGTTAAGTCCATACTTACCACCCAGCTGAGCTTCTGAAGAGCTCAGACGCCCTACTTGTGCGTTCATATCCCCTGCAAGTACTATAATATCTGAACTAGTAGCACTGCGTAGTAGCGTGTTCAGTTCGTGATAGAAAGTGTCCTTGACTGCATTAGAACTGCAGTCGGTGGGAGCATAAGCAGAAATCACAAACAAACAGCGTTTTGTTTTACTTCGCGAATTCACCTTAGCTGATGTCGTCAAACGGGCTGCACATAAACGGCTGTTCACCGGAATCCAATCAACCAACGATGACTCAGCCTTGGAGCTGAGAATGATACCTACACCAGCTTGACCCGTGAGTGCCGCATCGGCGTCTCCGGATGCGTGCAACCAATAACGAGAGGATAAGCCGGGTGCAGTCAATTCAATAACCCCGTTAGGGTCATTAATCCTAGTTTCGGACACACAACACACATCAACACCCAGTGTGTCCAAGGTGCGTGCGAGTGCAGCCTGCTGACCTGTTTGTCTTAGAGTGCGGACGTTGAATGTCGCCATGGAAACGGGACAGCGTGGCCTTATAAGGGACTTTTGCCGATAGGCGTCCGATAGGTGCTGTGGGATGGTGGCTGCAGATGGTTCTACTCCAGTAGCACTTCGGTTGCTGTCAATTAAGCTGGGAATTATAGAAGGAAGGTTAGTAATGGGGGCCGGGATGGGAGTAAGAGAAAAAGGTGGAAAAGAAAGAAGGGAGGCGCCAGCAGTAGCATGTTTTCGCTTATCCGCCCTGCTGTATGCAGCAGATAAGGCGAGCCAAACAAATACAACAATAATAAAAAGCAGAGGGAAATCATCCGCTACATTTAACCGTTGCATGCCAGACCGACCGCGACGTTTGCGCCCTCACATTGTTCAACGCCCTATACCTTTCGTAGTGGTCACAGAGTATAATATGCCGCGAAGTTCAGGGGGGTGCTAGAATAGTAATGGGCGCCTGTCTAGTTATGTAGATCCCCCGCGACCCGTGAGCACAGTCGGCAGCCCCCCCCACACACGCACACACCGACCAGACCATTTAATATTTGATCCCCAACACAAACCCTGAGCTCCACCTCTGCGGGACACGAAGCGCACTTCCCCATCCTCCCCCCCCCCCCCCCACCCCCCCCCCCCACCCCCCCCCCCCCCCCCCCCCCCCCCCCCCCCCCCCCCCCCCCCCCCCCCCCCCCCCCCCCCCCCCCCCCCCCCCCCCCCCCCCCCCCCCCCCCCCCCCCCCCCCCCCCCCCCCCCCCCCCCCCCCCCCCCCCCCCCCCCCCCCCCCCCCCCCCCCCCACCCCCCCCCCCCCCCCCCCCCCCCCCCCCCCCCCCCCCCCCCCCCCCCCCCGCCCCCCCCCCCCCCCCCCCCCCCCCCCCCCCCCCCCCCCCCCCCCCCTAGTAAAAATTGCCCAACCGAGTTGAAGATCACAGATGCATTCAGGTCGTTGAGCATTGTTGCCCACAGACTATCATCCATGTTGTTTGGCATCGACGTGCGCATAAAGATGATAAGCACAAGCGGATAATGGGCGGCTCCTCGGCTCAACTAGTGGAATTGGAGAAATTGCAGTGGCCTGACCAGACTATTGCCAAACGAAGAGGGCATGGTTTTGCTTGCAAGTCCTGGGATGGCACAGGGCGTGACGAGCGTAACTGATGACCTGACAACCGGAAATGAAGTCACTGATGAGAATAGCGAGTCCGGCTGGTTCGTTTCCCCCTTCAAACAAATATAGCCCACTGATCATGTGTAAAAGCCAGCACATGAGCGGTATTTCAAACAACTAACGAGGGGCAAGAAGGAATAGCTCGCTTCGAATTCCGTGATGAGGACGTTTCCAAATGTGGCGTGCCGTTGCAGCCGCATGCGAAGCACACTTGGACTCAAAAAATTCGTTAGAATTGACGCATATCGAAAACTGCTGTTTGGCTGAAAGTAAATTTGATTGCTTTACACCAAAGCAACGAAAACACTTTCTACCCGCACCTGTTGGTGTAGGAAAGTAGGAGTAGCTTTGTTCACATTTGACTGCGCCGATTTTGCACCCAAAACTATCATCAGATATTGTGGTTCTCAAGTTATTATGATTTTTGCTATTCCTCAAAAGCAAGAAGTTGCGAATGTGAGCAGCAGTTTAACAGCGGTGAAAATAAAAAGTACACGTATGGTGGAAAATGCGCAATATTCACTGGTTTAATAACTGAGGTTCTTCGCAGGCAGTTTCCAAATCAGACAGCTGTTCACATGCCCCTACTCATGAGTACACTCACTGGTTTACTCTAATTTTTCAGAACAGTTCTGTCTTGTTGTATGCCAGAAAATATTGTCGGAAAGTTGGGGAACATTGCCCCAATCAATCGGCGAAATTTTTCGCGCAAACATGCATCTTGGTTGATAAAAGATTTGCCAATTGATTGAGTAATAGTTGCCCCTACTGAGGAGACTCGGGCCCACTTTAAAGATGAGAATGTGAGGCGATAACCGACAGTTTGGAGACACTTCAGCCTTGCTCCGAATAGGACAGCACAGCAACGCCGATTAACGATCCGTCCTTCAGCAGCCATGGCCATCGGGGCTAACTGACGTGTTTCGCATTGGCGACATTAATTCATGTCGGATATATTCGAGAGTGGGAATTGTAATGTCAAAGTCTCAGGTAGATTAGGATGAGCAAAGCAATAACTGTGACAGCTATTTCCAACTTTCTAACCTGTCAAGTACGGCTCAGTCGCCTTGACAAAAGCGTGCAACCACCAACTATAGCATTCCTAGCTTTTAGAAGCGCTGAAGAGAACTAACTGCATCGAACAAAAGAATAACAATTCAAAGAAAATGGGCCCGTATAAAAATTGCAGTCGGAGCAAGCGCAACAGCGCTGTGAACGCAATGGCCACTCGAAAGTGCCTTGATAGGGTGTGGGACAATTGATCACTTTTCTCAATTAAGCGATGCATCCATGTGTCGAATGAGCAGAAACAATGTTCGGCTCTGCTAGGTTGCAGCAACTTGCCACATCTCATAAGCAACATTCAACAACCAACAATCCAATTGGACCGTGAGACATTCGGGAAGAAACCGCCTCAGACAGATGAGAAGAATGTCAGCTTGTTTTTCAAACAAGACCATGTTAATCGCTTCAATAAACTTAATCGAAGCCACAGAGACACATCCGCAACTGGTACATACTAAAGTGTACCAGCAGGGAGGTTGAAGGCCATCTTTTGAGATGTATTAAAGTTGATTAGAATGAGCATTAGATCAACCTGTTGCGTGTAGCTGTAACAGCAGCCGTTCAAATTCTAGCTGCATTACTGCTGTGTGAATTGAGCTCAGGTGGTGAGCAAGCGATATCAGTCTAAATCACCTGAAATACTGGTAACTCGGGAGGATGATTGGGCTGTTGTGGTTTTCACTAAGCTGGGAAACTTGATTGCAAACGTTTCATCACCATGCGAGGTGACATTTTCAATGCAGGAATGATAGCAGTTTCGTAGCTGGAGCTGATGGAAGGGAAATCCAAACAATAATGTCTTCAGCTACTACTCTGTTCCTTACATAGGCATATGGGACTAGCAATTTGGCGTTGTCTGCATTGGTCACTCATTGTTTCACACTAGTGCTTGGGTCAGTAACCCAGGCTACACAAATAATGTTGCGACGTAGTGGGGATTGTCACACACAGATTTGTTTAATGGGCATAGATCAGTAGTCTGAGCAGACATTGCCTGTTCTCGTCACTGTCTGGGAGGCGGACGGACTTCATTCGAACCGCATTTTATTATTCACCTAAGCCCCATCTGTCTCTCAGTGGTTGATACACTAAGTCATTGTCGAAGTGTAAATCCATTGAATATTTTCCGATCAAGGCTTTCAGAAATTCCTTACCTTTTTCATTTCTCCTTAGATGAGGATCTCTGTTTTGTTGAAGTTGAAGCTGTATCCTTCTTCATCAAGGTGTGCTGAAACTAGTGAGATTGCTTAAGGTTTTCTGCATGCCTTTCTGTGTTCCTGTGTCCTTGTTGACAACCTTCTTATTAGCTGCACATAGTATGTTTGGAAATCATGTGTACGGCACTCTGCTATTCCTTACCTCAGTGGCGGTAAGCTAGAGCGATACATGATGTTATGTTGTTTGAACGTCAGGAGGCCTGTGGTGGGGAGACCCTTACCGATCATGGGACCACTGTTCATAATGCTGTAACGTGGACTCGTGCTGGACGCCTCCTAATGACGACCGCTGGGTAGGAGCTGGGTTACACCCTTCTGCTAGTTAAGCGCCAGGACACTTCTGTGTGAGTCGGATCAATGACTCATGAAACACGGCCCGCTGCTTACTGGAACACATTTTAGCGAAGGCATTGGCTGAGGACCCGTTCAGGTGTGGATGCCCTGGTAGTACACCTGTTCAAACCCAACTATTGTATCCCCACCGACTGTTCGCACCACACGACCGCAGAGAGAACACGAAGACGAGCCAGGACCGAGTTGCATGCATGAGAACACTGCTTCCTTATATATGGTACGGTGGTGGGTGAAGCAAAGCTACTAAAGCACATCGGGGACAACCACCAACACAGGAGACACTGAATGAGTCAAGCGAATAAGAAGTGCTAAAAGTGCAAAGCAATTACGCGTGTCTGTGAAAACGGTATTACTAACTTTATTATCTGAAATGGGACAGCAAGAAAACATCCATAGTAACGACGTATGCTGACCAATCAAGTTGAAAAAACGATGAGTTTAAAAGAAATGGCAAGAAACAGACGATAATGAAGCGAAAACAGGTAAATAAGCACTGTCACAAATAATATATGTTCCGTAGACTTTCTCCTAACACCTCCCTTTTAAGAATGAGTTACCTGAAGGGTGTATAGCTTCTCCGTCGAAGGTCTAACTGAAGGGACTGCACAAATGTTGTTCGTTTTGGCCTGTGTTGGGCCTTGTTTTCTGAACATCCCAAAAGGCGAAATTCATGTCTGAGGGAGGTGCTAGATGTCTGATTGTCTTATAGTTCAGTGAAACCCAACCCATCGCACTTGTGAATCCCAGCATCTCGTGTATAACGTGGCCTCAGTTAATTAGTATGACGTCTCTATAGTTGGGCACCAAATTGCACATCGTAAAGCACTGTGCCATGACGCTGCAGAACTCGCCCTGGTATCCAATTCGTGCGTCGTCCTTGGATAGAAGTGACAATCACGAAATCATCCACTTTGAACTTCCTCTTTGCCCCATAGCGCCTATCGTACTGCTGCTCCAGGGCTGAATTCGTTAGTAGTACGGGTGGGCGCTCAGGAGTCATCAAATTCAGAGTGATTCTCAGGCTCCGACAAACGACTTCTCATCCGGTGCATTGAGATTCCGAGTGAATTGACAAGTCAGTAGGAAACGTTACAATCTACTCAGCGTCCCAGCTTCGACTTCAAAAATGCTCGTTTCAAAGTATCGATAAAGCTTTTTGCTTGGCCGTTAGGTTGCGGATATGACGCTGTTCTCACATGATCGATTCCATTTTGTGTGCAATAACCTGGCCAAATGATAGGACGTGAATTGAGATCCGATATCCAATACAATCGTTTCTGGAAGGACACGCTGTCTGAAAACATGTCTCAACGCAAAGACTGATGTTTTCGGACGTCTTTCACCCTACGATAACTTCAGGTCACCTACAGCAGGCGTAGCCAATGATGAGGAAAGAAACTCTATCAACTGGTTTCAGGGAGATTGGTGGACAATCGGTTAGTTTATTTAATTGGTCCTGCAAAACCCACATGTATTCGAGACCAGGGCGATTCCGTTTTCGACCAAGGTTGCAATGTCGTGCGCACCGGCAACTTGGAAGCATTGCAGCATTTAGAACAGAATCGACCAAGGTCTTCTATTTGGTTATCCACCATCGGCCAGAAGACGTTCCGAGCGAATGCTTTCATACGAGCGATTTTTGGATGAGCCTTATGCAGTTGCCGCAAAACGCTTTGCCGGAGTACTTCTGGAATAACAATGCGATCCGCGAAGAACACAAGAATAGACTTCCGACAAAGAGCCATGTCGCATAAAAAATGAACAAGATCTACTTTTGGACACCTCTTTAGCGAGTCCTGTCGTATATAAGTTAATACTTATTGTAGCAATGCCCCTTTTTCGTGGCTTGCTGAACCATCTTGGTATTTCCAAGCAAGTCGCTTACAGCCATACGTGCCACTTAGCTGACATCTGTTTCTGTTGCGACTGACGCAATGACTGCATCTTCAGGCTCACGTGCACCGCTACCGATCAATCTGGATAAAGCGTCCACTTGTCCAATAGCATCAGCTGACAAGTATCTGTCGAAAAACCGCTACCTTGTTTATAATGTCTCCTGGAAACAGTTAGTCGTTGCTTGGGGAGATGGGGC